TACATATTTAGTTTATCATTAAGTCTAAAAATAGTTCATACATAACATTTTTACTCTTTAGTAGTCGACTAATAAAAATAATAGTCGACTACTGTAGTCTAAGTTCAAGATATAAGTTTCTGTAAAACTACAGAGTAGTCAACTACTAAGAATAATAGTCGACTACTCAGCTTTGTATTTTGATTTATAGAACTTCAGTTTTACAGAGTAGTCGACTACAAGTAAATATAGTTGACTACTGAGCTTTGAAAATTGTTTTACAGAACGTTTATTTTACAGTGTAGTGGACGTGCTACTACATAACCGTCGCCCTTGAGCGAGTGTGACGGTTCTCAAACCGCCTTATATGCTGTCGTTGCCCTACCTCTACCTTAACAGTTTTGAACTATATTGCGACGGTTTCTTGAATAGTTGCCCCCGCATCTAACGCGTCGGTTTTAACAGACAAGCAGTTACAGTAACGATTTTAGTAGACTATAGCTATGATTCTGATAGAGCACTAACAATTATAGTCGACTACTGATCTTTGATTTTTATTTTCCAGACTTTCTGTATTACAGAGTAGTCGACTACAAAGAAGAATAGCCAACTACTAAGCTCTAATTTTTGAATTCTAAACTTTCTGTATTACAGAGTAGTCGACTACTAGGCATTATAGTCGACTACTAAGACAGTTTTTCTGAACGTTTAAATTTAAACTTGTGACAGTTTTTAGCCGTTTTTCAAACGTTTTAAAGTTCAAAAACTTGTCTTTTCAAGGGCTATAAATAAGTTATTTGTTCAGAAAAATCGAACATAATTATATACCCATAAGCTTTGATCTTTGTGCATTTTTTCAAGTGTCAAAAATTCAGATTTTGAAGAAAAAGAGAAGTTTCTGAAATTGCCTTTGATCATCATTCAAATACTTATTATTCAGACAATTTACAGAAGTTAGAATCATTCCTAAGACACTACTACACAACACTACAAATCAAGGCTTATAGGAATTGAGTTGTTGCTTCAAAGAAAAGTTCTCTCGATTTGTGAGAGGTGTTAATCTATTGGTTTAGAGATTGATGTGCAAATTGGCAAGGTGTTTGTCAATTGGTGTTATAATTTGTAGGGACTTGCAAATTGGTCAGGTTTGCTTTTGATTTTGTAAGTTTATTTAAAATCATAGTGGAAACTCTCAAATGAGATTTGCTTGGGGACTGGATGTACACCGGGTTAGTGGAACCAGAACAAAATTTTGTGTTTATGATTGTGATTTTTTGATATTGTCATTCTTTCTTTGCAATTTATAATCTACTTTGCATAAATTTTAAAAGAATACTATTCACCCCTCCCCCCTCCCCTCCCCTCCCCTCTAGTGTTCTAGTGTATCTATTTCAGATCCTGCATTTTCTATTATAATTGGAATTCTTAAAAGATAAAACTTCTTAAAAGATAAGACTTCTTAAAAGATAGTTTCTATCCATTAAGGATATGTGCTTCTAGATTCCACATATCGTTTCTAATCAATCATTTCACCGTCATTATAATTTATTTTTTGGGTTTTTCTTACTGTCGTTATAAGTTCCATGTAGGTAAGGTTTTATAATATTTGGGTATTTTAACTGTAGCGTTTTAGAACTTTGGAGCATTTATTTGCTCGCTTTCAAAATAAGAGTCGCATACTTGCAAGGCTGGCTAAACTATAGGGTAAGTATTTTCCTGCAATTTAGCCCTTTACATTTGAAAAAAAAATTAACGTTTTATCTTGCCTACACGGAACTTGTAATTAATTATTTGTAATCACTCATGAATACTTAACCCGCTGCTAGGATCAAAAAAATAATTTTTTATTAGAAAATAATAATAATAATAATAATAATAATAATAATAATAATAAACAGGTCCCCCCTATCACTTTCTCCGCTCACACTTCCTCTCTTTCTACTAGCCACTAGCGTGTAGTGATTAATTCTTGATCGTTGAAGCTACAATTTTACAGATTGTAACAATAAATTGTAACAAGTGAGTATAAGTTATATGCTAGTGTGCAAATAAAGTGATCGCTGCAATGAATTATGGCAATAGTGTTAGATTCAATATATCATAGTTCGCATCTCACCGCACCTTTGTAAAACGAGCGGTATAATAATATACATAATTTAGAAAGAGCGTTGCTACACGGATCCAAAATATGAGACTACGCAATAGGAGAGGGACGTTTCACATATCCCCTCCATTGGTCCCATATTTTGGATCCTTAAGATATTTTTCATTTAGAAATTGGAATTACATTAAAAACATGAATTGGAATCTCCCCGGTATCAATTTCAAGGCCATAGTTTGCCCCGGGAGACCCACTTAATATAACTTCTACCCACCTGAGACCCAACAATGACGGCAAAGTGGGCCTTTCATCCAATGGGCCTTCGGTACTCTTATTTAATGCCCACCGCTGGTGGGATCCACACATGGATCATCTTAGGGCTGGGCATATTCGGTTCGGATCGGTTTTAAGCTTAATCCGCATCCAATCCGAATTTTTTGAATTCTCAAAACTCTCATCCAGATCCAGATTTTTTTCCCTTCATCCGAATATTCGGCCCAACCGAAATTCGGATCGGTTCGGATCGGTTTCGGTTTTGGACCGAATTAATACTATTTCATAAAAATCTGCCCACACCTGAGATCATTGCCTATTAATTTCTGATGAAGTATCATTATTTGTCCATTTTGTCTACTTAACTTTTTCCCCCAAACAATGAAATGTGGAGCTTGTTTGAAGTAACACCATTGCCACAGCTAACAAAAAACCGAAATCAGTAAAATGAGTGCAAACCATATCAACAAGTACATATGGTTACGTAACATTCAAATATTAATTAACTATAATCAAAAGGTTATCTTTCATTTCTTGGAAAACAACTTAACATGCCTCTAGTAGAATTTGAAAGCTTATATGAGGTTTCACCGATTTTAATGCGGGCATATACGCTAGCAGGCCCAATGAAAAAGGAACTATACAATATAAACATGTATGTAAACATAACAATCAAATTACCGAGCAATTATATAGCTTAATGTTCAAGTGATGACTCACTAATAAGAAAGCTATTCCATCCGACTTCGTCCGAACCAAAAGTCCTTTCCATTTTGACCGAATTCCGAACGACGAAGTCCTTCCCATTTTGAGCAATATGAATATCCGACAAAGAACGAATTAGAAAATTCGGTTCGGTTTTTTTTCGGGCGGTTCAGGGGTTCAAACCGGATCCAAACCGGTTTAATTCGGTTCGGGCGGTTTAGAATCTTCTTCTCATCCATTTAATCCGGTTCGGTTAACCGGCCCGCTTTTTCGGGCGGTTTTTTCGGTTGAACCGGTTTTTTTCGGTTTTTGCCCACCCCTAGATCATCTCCTTACTTTATGCTTACGCTGCTTCAACGGCATTTAAATATCGCTTCGGGCGCTATTCTGCACCCATCCTCAAAATAGGGCCCACACGTCAGAGACTTAGTAGAATGGGTAGGATGGTTTTAGTGGGGGTCCTTTGTCGTGTTTAGCGCGTGATAGAGTCTTCATCTCGAGAATTGTGTGCTCGTAAAGCCGAAAGTGGCCCCAACACGCTTAAAGTGGGCCCAGCGGATATTATTTGTTAGAATTATCCGTTTTATTAAGCTAGTCTAGTTAATACTAATTACTAAGTCTCCATTAGTACAAACCACTTTGCATTGAACGAGTTTATTTACTCTTTAACTATTTTAATAAAAAAATGGTTCAAAATGGTTCAGAAATAAGTTTGGGTTGGTTTTCATTGATTTAAATTTGAGTTTAGCTTTAGTTTGGTTGCCTCATAAAATAAACTGTTTTTGAGCACCCCTCTAGATTGGTTCTGGTTTGATTATTGGTCATATTTAGAAAAGATTAAAACTGAATTAGATTCAAGCTACGAAACTAAGATTATGAAAAATGAAACTCGCCACGGGTGATCTGTGCGGTTCAAAGGTTCCAATACTGCTCCCAAGATGCTAGGTTCGACTCCGGACCGGCTTATCAAAAAAAAAAAAATTATGAACATGAATAATTTGATATAAGTAAATATGGTTTCCTTTTGTTGTCGAACTGACTCTAACGCACTATGTTTTTAACCTTTGATTTTGCTTTGACATTCGTGCTGACATGTGACATGCATCAAAACACGAATCTCAAAGATAGCCATATTAATGTACATCAAAGATAGCCATATTAATGTACATCACGAAGATCAAATTAAAAACAATAGTTAAAAAATTTGGTGGAGGAGAGCTCCTATCTACTTAATAAGTTCAATCTAATTTTACTGAATTTTACATACCAAATCAAGTGAATTAACTAACTTATAATTTGTTTAAGTACAAGAATTGGAAGAAAAAACACGTTTAAAATGACCCTAAAAGTTAATCCCTATAAAAGGTGGTGGTTTGGTAATCACCCTCACCTGTCACTTTAAGTGGTTTAATTGTTCTTTAGCTTAAAGGAGTAACTGCCTGCCTCATCATTCCCCTTTAAATCATCTCTCTTAAACTTTTTGCCAAACATCCAATTACAAACATCAAATTAACCTATTAATAAACATCCAAAGAATTAAATTTCGCTAATCCTTCACGTAGACGGGTTGCCCTAATGTTTAGCAACAATATCAACGGCGAAGAGGCCCGGTTTTTGGCAATAAAAAGAAAATATCAACCAATATTCTCATATAACTAATTTACAGAATTTTATCAGCCTAAATTTTTTTTTTGTAAATGAATTTATATTTACCTAACTATTTTTTAAGATGCCTATTCCTAGGTAGGGGAGCCGCGGACTGATTCATGAGAAAACAAATTAACCCCTTCATCTTGCCTACGGGAACTTAAATTTTATTTATTATTTTAATTTAATCATCCCGCCATTAAAGGATAAAAATGATTAGAAAATAAAATAATAATAAAAAACAGGTCGCCTATCACTTTCTCTCTCTCCCCTTCTCACGCTTGCTCTCTCTTCTACTGCTCACTAGTCGTTGTTGTTGTCCCGACCAAATTTAATGCTACTCTCTCTCTCTCTCTCTCTCTCTCTCTGTGGGGGTGATGGATCTCGAGATCTCGCTGCGAGCTAGGGTTTAGGATTTCATGACCCGAGATCGCCAGCGGCCTTCTTCTCCTCCGGCGGCGGCGGAAAAATGCGGCCAGCGGCGGGGCGGAACGCAGGGCTCTGCTGATGGTCTCGTCGAGAAAGGAATAGACGAAGATGAATGTTATTTTGATCTTGATCTCTCTCTGCCTCGTCCCTTCGGCTTCTGGTATTCTTCACCCCTTCAAATTCCTGCCAAATAAATAATTTTTTTTAATGATTCTGTTCCGTTAGCGTTAGGATTTTTATGTGAAACGTGGTGCCTTTTTTGCTCATCATTGTCAAGTTTCGAGTTAAGTGCTTTTTACATTTTTCCTTTAAAAGTTGATTTCTTGGCAGTTACCATTGATGGGGGCAAGGACAATATTTTTTTTTTTTTAGAATTTCTCATTTATCTCAAGAACAATGATTTCCTAAACGAGTGGTTAAATGAAATCTAGGTAAATGTTGCAGTTTGAAGTAATTAATTCTTGATCATTGATGTAGAAATTTATTGGTATCCTAATGTGTAAACGAAATTCTTGGCTGATGTACTGGAAGCTGTAGGGAGAGTTTTTTTTGGTTGATAGATTGTAACCCGTAAGTGTAAGTTATATGTCCGTGTGCAAATGAATGGGTTTTACAAATGGTGGCTTCATCTATACTTGCATTGCCGTTATATATTACAAGTCATGCATAGTCGCCACAATATATAATGTTATTTCATGATGCTTTCGGCTAGTGATGCACAGGTCTATTCATTCGACAAAAGACTGGTTATTAACTCACTTGAATGTGAAACACCAGTTACCTCAGTAACTTTTAAGGTTGAGTATCTTATGTCCCTTTTGACATTGCAGCACAGGTCATTATACTAAAGTTAGTTTCATATCGAAAGGCACAAACACATATTTATATGAGTTAAGTATGCATGTGAATATATAAGTACACCGTAACGTCTTTTTGTCAGTTTGATGAACAATTGCCAATCTCAACACTTTGTGTCTCTGCTGGAGCACGACAAGTGTCTAGTAATCATAGGGTTTTAATGTACTATTAGAGTTGGAATGATTTTAGTTAGTTTTTTTGACATTCTTTGACTTCTCTGGATCTAGTTTATGGCAAGAGCAAAGGCCTGGATGTTCCCATTTATGTGATTTTCTAACCCTTGTTTACAGATTTCATATTAGACGTATGGTAGAAAATTATAAGTTGACATAGTAACTGCTAAAAAAATCATGAGAAAATGATTATTGTAACAACAAGACAATGATAGCAAATGCTCTGAGGTCAGGATACATGGTGAAGGGTTGGAAATGGATTTTAAGTTGTCCTAGAAAGTCCAGACTAGGGTCTCAACATTAAAAGAAAACACCCAAATTTTTGTTTGGCTACATGAATCCTTCTTTCTTATCATTTTTGGTTCTACTCATGTTTTTTGGGACTCCCCTAGTTTCACAGCTAATTAACTGTAATCCCATTGCGTTCCTGATTATCACACTCCTTAATCTTAATAGAACACGTACAAAACATCAAAAATAACCTTTCCCTCACCTTGTCCTTATTAAGAGCTATCTTTATCTTCTTAAGGGTGCACTTATTTCTATTGTTATATTATCTTAACATTGTCATGTCCACCATGCTTATGTCTTATGTTCTGGACTTATTGCTTCTTCGTTGTTTAACATGTTGACTCATAAAGAATGTATGGTCTTGTAGCTGTTTCATAATCTCGTTTCAAGTTCATCGGTATCATACAGCCACATGGGCCTCCAGAAGAACTTTCTCTCTTGCTATCTTGTGTTAATTCTACAACAACGTCTCTTTCAATCTCACCACCATGATGTATGTTTGGTCCCAAGTGATATAAGAAATATTTGATATTTTTTTTTCCATTGGCACGAGTCAATCATCTATTCCTAATTTCTTTTTTTATCTTGAAAAATAAAGACTACAAAAGTGCTTGTATTTATCTTGAAAAAAGAATGACTTCAAAAATTCTTGAATCACCACATCCTATTCGAGCAGTTGATTTCAACTGTTCCCGCAGGCTATTGTCTTCTAGGCTCTCCAGCTTCACTAGGCTGCAACCTGGATTTCATACTCTGTCATGCTATGTAGCACGGACACGGATCCGACACGGCCATCCGACACGTCAACACGAGGCAAATCCTAAAAAATACATAGGATACGTGTGTTCGACACGTGTGTCCGACACGGACACGACACGACACGGCTTCATGTTATGTGTGTCCGTGCTTCATAGCTGTCATGTTCATATATGCTCCTCTATGCTGTATGGATTACTAGAAGACATGTAACTCTATCATCCTTCCCATGTGGCACATGTGAATTGCAGCCTTATCGTTTTCTTCATTTTATAGATGTCCCCAAAATCCATCTTTATTGTGTAAATATTTCATATATCATCTGTCGAACTTTCAGTTTAAAAGGAATCTGGTTTTATAGTGTGCGACATCATGCCTGTTGGCTACGTCACATGATGCTTAACCACTGTTATCGGATCAGTGTTTTGTTCAATGAGGCTTAACTGCAAGCACAGGAGCAGTATCTTTTTGCTTACTATTTTTTTCCCTGCCACATGACTGTATTGTGATTTAATGTCAATTTATAAGATTCTATCGTACCTTGTGCAGCAAGGCAAACACCCACAGGTCTAGCTACTGTTCCATCTGTCCTGCCTAAAGTTTCTATGATATCTTCGGCACCTGCACAGGCTCCAGCTTATTCTCCAGAAAGACATTCTCTGACACCTGCGCCTTCTCCAGCTATTTCTCCAGAAACTCATGGTACTAGGCATGCTTATTGTCTGACTCGTCCTTCATATGTCTCTCAATGTCTAATTCATCATACTTCTTAGGCCACTTTCGACGCCATTATGGATCAAAACATCACAAGAGCATTCCACATGCAGTACCATCACCGTCATTTACCCCACTGCAAGATCCAGGTTTGAACATTTCAGTTCATTAATAGTTCATTGTGCTTGATATTTTTATCAGAACCTGCTGTGTAGTTCATTTTGCATCCTAATTCAATATGCATCTCCTTGAAGGAGGAATGGAGAAGTTTGATTGTTTATTGATTCGGAAGCAGGTTGTGATGAGGTCTCCTGTGATGAGCCATTAACTTTAACTCCAATTGGATCACCATGTGGCTGCATATTGCCTATGCAAGTCAAAGTTGATTTTGATGTAGCACCGTATCAATTATTCTCTAGGACTGCGGAACTGGAAGTGGAGGTTGCAGATGGCACATTTCTGAAACAAAGTCAAGTAAGAATTATGGGTGCCAGTGCCAGCATTGAGTATCCAGGAAAGACAACAGTTACTATTGATTTGGTTCCACTGGGAGAAAAATTTGATAATATGACTGCATTGTTGACCTATGAAAGATTTTGGCAGAAGAAGATACCAATAAACACAACTGTTTTCGGCGACTACACTGTCATATATGTTCAGTATCCAGGTAATAGTTGTACTTGTTTATTTTGTCTCGTTTACAGTTATGGCCTGTAGATCATTGTGGTTTAACTGGGAGTAAACATCATTACAGGACTGCCTTCCACTCCACCATCTATGTCTGCGTCCTTAGGCCCTAGTGGAATTGGGGATAACCGGGATCCTTTTACTGCAAATGTGCCACATAGTAAGACACAGAAGATGAATCCTAAAATCATTGCTGTGATTGCACTTTTCTCGTTGCTACTTGTGTTAATAGGCTTCGTAGCTATTTGTATATTCTGGAGGTGTAAGAAACTTGGGAGAGCATCTACTGTGATTGGACCTGCATTTACATCGTCAGTTGTTCGGAAAACAGGTAATTTAAGAAAAATTAGCAAGATGGTATAAGCTATACAATACAGAATAACTAGTGTATAAATGTGAACTGTTGATAGCCTAACCTTGTATGGCTAATAATCTTAAGCAACATAATCTGGTTTAAATTTGGGTCTCACACTCACATTTTGAGCCATTAAACATGTGTTAGCTTTGAAACCGTACTTTTCCTAAATTTATTTTACTGCATGTTCTGTATCGTCTGCTTGTTTGAATCACTCTACTTGCAACCTTGCAAGTTTTTCTTGTCTATACGTTGAGCTTGTGCATGTCTTTTGCATGGAGAAGTGTGTCCTTCTTCTTTAAAGACTACTGCCCTGCACCCCGAGTTGAGAGTTATTTGGATGTTTCTTCACTTGCGTGTACCACATGCAGGAATCCGGTCCATAATATCAAGCAGCGCAACAAGCTTTGCTTCAATATCCTCTATCTCCACAATGGTTCCTTGCCCTTCCTCTGTCAGGACATTTTCGATAGCTGAACTAGAGAAGGCCACAGATAAGTTCAGCTCTAGAAAAGTCATAGGCGAAGGCGGTTTTGGTCGTGTCTACCTTGGTATCTTAAATGATGGAAGCGAGGTTGCTATTAAGTTGCTTATGAGAGAGGACACTGGAGATCGTGAGTTCATTGCAGAAGTTGAGATGCTTAGCAGGTTGCATCATCGTAATCTTGTGAAACTGATCGGTATATGCATTGAAGGGCACAAACGATGCTTGATTTATGAGCTTATTCGGAATGGGAGTGTGGAGTCTCATCTGCATGGTATTGCTTCTAAGCTTTTTGAAATTTCAGATTCTTGCTTTTGTTCAAGTTTACATCAAAATGAAATGATTGAGCACCTCTGCGATTTGAAAACTATAACCCAAAACAGAGTATTTTGCGCTGTTGATCTAGAAAATTCAGTTATTAATTTTAATTTGAGAAAAGGATGAAAGCATAAACTTGAAAAGTTGAGTAACTGTAGAAGTAGAAATCAATAATTTCATTATGAAAATTTATAAAATTCAATTCAGCTTGGTGTTTGAAAGTGAAATAAATAATTGTTATGAAGAATGTTTTGGTGAATGTTGAAAATAACGATAACGTGTAATGTATGCTTTACCTTCTATTAAGGGTTGAAAAACTGTAACGCATAACGTAGGTTATTTTGTTTATTAATTATTTACATTTTTTTTATAAATGCAAACTATTCGTAATGACTTTAATAATTAGAATTATTAAAATTTTCAAATAAAACAACACAATTAGGAACAAATATCATAATACATAAATATTTTAATAAAAAAGCTTTAATTTAATACAAGCTATATAGATTTACTAAGGAAGTATATCACAATCGAATACTCAAATATATAATAATAAAAGTTTATCTCATTCATAATTACATTTGTTTTATTAGTTACATTCATAATTTCGCAATCTCATAATGATGTCACCAAAATAGGACATGAAGGCTCAAACAATTCAAAAGTAATTACTTAACTATTTCAAATTTCAAGAAAGGATATATACTCTCAAGTCTTTGGAAGTTATAATGAAATAACACATGTTATATTGAAATAGCGTAAGTTATATTGAAATAACGCATTATACATTGTAGTAATGTAGAGTTATGATGTGTGAGTTATTTCATAAGGTTACATACCATTTAAGGCTTGTTAGGTTACATAACGCGACATAATGAGTTATGTAACAGGTTTTTTTTAACAATGGTTTCAGTCGTCCTATTTAAGGTGCATACAGATAATGGACCATCATGCACGATGAGAATGTTTTGGTCATCCTATTTAAGTCAGCTACCAACATTGTGACATAGTTTTATAAGCTTTACATGACTGTTATTCGTTGATGATTAGGTATTCAACTAATATGGCATTTTGCATGCCCCACTAAGCAAGTCGTTTGTTCTGAGTTACTCACGTACATATTGTCTGACTAGTACAATTTTATTAGCCTCTTCAAGTGGGTTTTTTCTTGGACTGGTTTATATTTAAGAGAGCAGTAAGTATTTTTATTCTTTCAGAAGTTATGCCAAGTGTTAAAACTTGTTATGCAACTTTTTAGGCTTAAATCAGCTTTTGTCTTGATGTTTCAGGCAATGACAAGATGAAGGCGCCTCTTGACTGGGATGCCCGGATGAAAATTGCCCTTGGCGCAGCAAGGGGATTGGCATACCTGCATGAGGACTCCAACCCTCGTGTCATACACCGTGATTTTAAGGCTAGCAATGTTCTACTGGAAGAAGATTTCACCCCCAAAGTTTCAGATTTTGGGCTTGCCAGGGAAGCATCAGAAGGAACCCACCATATTTCTACTAGAGTCATGGGGACTTTTGGGTAATGTTGTTATTTCCCTCCTATTGTTCTGGATTCCAAATGACGTGACCCAGCCTCAATCCTTGCCTGCCCAACCCTCATTTTATGGATAAAACAATAACATAACATAAATTTGCCGTCTTCTATGAAGCAAAAATGTCATGTATGAAATCAGGGGCGTATATACAAACATTCTAGGGTTGCAGTTTAAACATTTACAAATTAGCATATAAAGTCATGCAAAGTTTACATCTGCCCCCCAAAATTGTACCCCAAGACCCAAGCTATAAAAAAACACCAAAGAAATTAGTAACAATTTGATTTAGCCCATTGGAAACTAAAAAGTCATTTAAAATTCTTGACAATAAAGTGTAGTGAGTGCATTCCCATTAGATGCTATAGATTTTTAATATTTTATTTATTTTTTTAGGTT